TATTATTGTATATTTTTTCTTGTAAATATAATTCAGCTAGTGTGATCTCATCATAGGTAAATCTACCTACTTATGTAATAGGTACTATAAAACAAAATGAAAATTATATATTGTTCAAATTTCAGCTATTGATTGTTTTATTTAATCCTATAGCAGCTAAAACAACCTAATAATTAACTTTACTATGTATTTTGTAGTAGGTGTGCCAACTTCTGTCGAATCATTTGAGGATCACATTCTTGATAAAAAAGAGTTTAAAGGTCTATTCACACACACGGTGATTTCACCGGCGAAGTCAAAATTATTCTCGTAGGAATTTGATGGTACCTATTCCCATCTGCCCGACGCACAACCGTGACAGTGCAAACAGTGCTGTCGCCGGTACCGTAACGTGATCGTTATATTAGTTTCTGACGATATTTCTGGATTTTCACGGCCGTACAAATTGAATTGGTCCGTGGTTATCCCGTTTTGTATAACCTGTGCAAAGCAAGATACATGGACTGATTTCAAGAACGCTCTCTGGAGCGTATCATGCTTTTTCAAATAAACTTCTATCTTGCACATCCTAAAGTATTCAAAAAATTCTGCTGCATCGTCTACTAGTTCTTTGTATAATGCTATAAATTTCCCTCCTATACCTCTCAGTGTCGTTTTTCAACCTGTTTTTCTACTTGTTCTTCTATTTCTTCGTCCAAAACCAGTGCAATCTGCGAAAGTTCTTCATCTGAAAATATTTCCATTTGGCTATAAGCTATACTGACACAGCACTGATGAAACACTGACCATTATGAATAAAAATCACTGTGAGTTTACGGCCGGTGAAATCACGTCACTGCTATGTGTGAATAGACCTTAATGAGCGTAATATGTTTTTGAATCACTTATCGCTAAAATATTCAAATAGGCCATTGATGTCCCGAGACAAGATGAGACGAGACGTCAATACGCTCCCTCTCTTTTCTTGTCTCGAAGGTTTGAGAGAAAATGAGTGCCTCGATACGAGACGAGAGAGCTCTTTCTTGGTCTCATCTCGTTCTCTCTCATCTTTCGTCAGTTTTGACGCATAGTAGATTCATTTCGACTCCAAGGTCAAGAAAATGCAAAAATGTATTCTCGCTTGTTAACTAAAAATGTAATATTACTCATCTTAGTACCTACCTATCTGGAAAATATTGGACATTTACGTACTTTTTTTCAAAAATTAAATAACGTTCTGTATCGTAGAAAGAAGCCATTTTGGATTTCCATACACATAGTTATAGTATTTTTTTTTTCAAATCTAAAGAAACACCCTGTGAATTTAAATAAATAATTTTTTTTTTCGAAATTTCTTATAAAGGTGAATTTTCTTTATTTCGTCTCGTCTCGAAGTGACTTCTCGAAAGAAAATTGGTCTCTCGTCTCGTCGAGATGAAACGAGTAAAGAGATTCTCGTTTCTCGTCTCGGCGGCATCACTAATTTCTGATTTAATGAATTTTACCAGCTACATAGCGGTTTCCAACTCATTGATTCACGTCAGAGCAACACAACCAAGCATACTAGAGCAGAAAACAATCCTATTTTTTGTTTTGGTCTGTTGCTGCTGTTGCTGATATCCATTGGATTGGATATTTCCTCTTCATTATCTTACATTAGCTCACAATCTCTCGTATGCATAATCTACCACTGTCTAGAAACGATATAGGTACAAGAATGGGGTTATAGCAGTGGACTTGAATATTTTCTTTGAATTATGTACTGTTTCCCTCAGGAATATCATGTATCATGTCTTGCCAAGTCGGTAACCCTGTGAGAATCAGTGGATAATGTCATGCCTTGGTCTAGGCAACGTAATAATACCAAAGTCTTAATACTTTGAATGTTAGTACTCTGTCACGGCATTTTTTTTAGTGTATTTATTCCCAAGATGGATTTTAACATTAAAAACAATAGAGAAAACCCAGGATATCTGTGCAAGTGCCAGGACATCTGTGCAAAAGTGTACGACCGCACTAAGCTGTAGGGAAAAGCAAGAGAACAATGTCGGACAGTAGGACACCCAATGAACCCAACTTTTCAGGTGATTTAACTTCACATTGAAAATTATGGAAGCAGAAGTTCGAAAACTATATTTTAGCTAGCGGAAAATCGCAAAAAGGTGATGACGTAAAAATCGAAATCTTACTTAATTTAATTGGAGATCAGGGATTCTAAATTTATAATACTTTTGAATACTCTGTAACAGAGGATAAAACTAAGCTTTTCACTGTTTTAGAAAAGTTTGATGCCTATTGTGTAACCCTGTTGAAAACCTTTCCTTTATGAGACTTTAGAGGATGTTAGTGGGGTTATAAATTATTTTGATGATATTCTAGTTTTTGGTTCTTCATTGGTAGAAGACAATCAAAATTTACACAATGTTCTAACCAAAATAGTAAAAAGTGGACTAACTTTAAATTTAGAAAAATCAAAATATAGTCAAAAATCACACATAATAAGTGAAACTGGGGTTTCTCTAGATAATAATAAAACCCAAACAACAAAAAACATGAAACCGCCGGAAAATACGAAAGTCTTGTAACGGTTCTTGGGTAAGATTACTTATATTGCGAAGTTTGCCAGAGCATAAAATCTCTTTGGAATCTCCAGAATTAAAGTCATATTGTTCCATACGTGATGAAATTTATCTACATAAAAATATTTTGTTCTAGAAAAAACGAATTCTAACTCCTTATGTCCTCAGACCCGAAATATTAGAAGTTTTACATCGTAGTCACCAAGGAGTCGTGCTTTGCTCAAGAAACGGTTTACTGGCCGAAAATCACTAAAGCCAGAAGATACAATTCTGAGTTGCCAGATTTGTCAGGAATATTCTCGCAATAATCGAAAAGAGCCCTTAATCCCACATAAAGTTCAAAAATTACCATGGGAAAAAGTGGGTATTGATTTTAAATCTCACAAGGGTATTGATTTTCTTGTAATATGTGACTAGTAAACTCATTATAGACAACAAAATCCTAAATAAAGCAGCTGCAACAACCATTTCCTCAATGAAAAATGTATTTGCAAGAAATAAAAATATTCTCCGAAAACGAATTTCATATTCAACTCTATAGAATTTTCTATTTTTGGCTCAAGATATGATATAATTTTCAAAACTTCAACTCTAGAGTACTCTCAAAGCAATGGAATAGTTGAGCGGTGAATCTAAACAGTGAAGGGTCTCTTAGTAAAAGCAAAGAATATAAAAGAAACCGCATTCACCTTAGAACCTTAAGACAAAGGAAAGAAAGACAATTGATCCGGTAGTTCCTAAGAGTGATGTCCAAGTCAAGCATTCTAGATAGCCTTCATTGGAAATATCACCAGAAGTTGATTTTCCTGTAGACCCTATAGGAAATGATATACCCTTGGATATTTCCAAAAAAAGAAATGGTCGGTTAATTATAAGCGTCCTGAAAAACTGAACTTGTGAAATATGTACTTATGTGTTTAAATGTTATCAATATTTGTAGTTGAATCTCTTCTATTTTGCTTATGTTAGGTACCATTTTTGTTATGTTAATGATCTTTGGTATGCTGTGGTAATAATACTTTAAATGTCGGTCAGTAGTCTGTCACGATCTATTTTTTAAATATAAAACTAGATAATTCTCTGTTTGTTTTTATTTAATCTTGGCTCAGCTCAACCAAACATTACAAGGAAAATATTCTGATTGTATTTTAGGGGGGCTACTGAATCACAATTTAAAAAAAAACTCTTCCCATGGAGCCGACGTTGAAGCATATTATGACGAAGAACAAAATTGAATACATTTTTAAAATATTTGCATTTGTGCAGAATATGGAAACATCATAGACCCTCAAAGTACGAGGCCCCTTCAGGGCTCAAAATAATAGATAGCCCTTTTACCCATTCGTACTTGTTGAACGTCCCTTCTGTACAATCTGGCTACACCAAAATTCCCAGGGATGACACCCCAAATAGAGCCTGCTCATTTTAGTATTGTTAATTTTTACTTTTTTGACACAGACTTGACTCTCCTTGGCCGAGGAGAGATAGAAAGCACTTCACGTCAAAACTCCAATTGAGGCCGGATATCCATTCAACGAATAATTTGTGAATTTTGAAAAAATCTTCAACTTTTCTGGGTCATCGTGCGCTAAATGTTAATTAACAAGTATGTCTTTTATTTCCTCACTGATATGTAAATGTCCGCGTTTCTTCGTTAGATTAAGGTTTATCCAAGAACCGTCTAGAGTACCAGAATTTTCATGAATCGATTTCAATGACGCTTCAAAACAAAAAGTCCATGTCACCCAATGATTACCCAACCTTAAAAAGAAATTCTGGTTGTATTCAATCTCATTTTACCTATTGATAAACTTTCAATAAAGCAGCAATGTTTTCATCACCTTATAACATGAGTCCATGTTGGAGCAAAAATCAATCTGTTTTTCTTATCTATAGGACTGTCATTCAATGAATTACTGATAATTATCGTTCACTAAGACCAATAAATAGCCAATAAATCAATAGATTACTAGGTGAAAATATTCCAATTTTCAGAAAATCTTCAACGTTGGTTTTTGTATTAACTTGATTCCTCACTTATTTGAGTTTAATAATACAATATGACATAACTTCTAAGGTATTTTATTAGTTCTATTCCATTTGAGGCTTCGATACGCTTTTTAAGTGTCTAGACCTGAAATAATGTAACGAATTTTTAAGGTTGCTTTTAGATAAAATAAAGCCAATTTGATCAAATCAATTTAAATGACAATAAATTTAAGTATTCAATAGAAATATGAACCCTAAAATAATTAAAACATAACCGGTCAAGGTAAAATATACATACAAGATGAAACACTGCTTATTTTCAATGTCACAACTTAGAAGTCACTAAACCTAATTAAACACAAACAAAAATATTAGTGAAACGTGTCCAATAAACTACATAAATCATAATTTGATGAACTTGCAATTACTTACACATTTACCATCGTGTGAACGATGGCTGAGTTCTTGTGGAAAAGTGCTGTGGTTGCTGTTATAGTATTGGGACTAAATGATAATCAAGTGAGTCATTAATATCGGGCTTGACTTTTATCTCTATTTGTTTTCTACTTTTTTTAATGATTGCTTCCAATTATTTGTATTTTTGTTAGCACTTGTATGCTACATCTTTTAAATTTGCTCTATGTAACTGTTAGTTTTCAACATCTTTTGCATTGTAACAATATAATTTTGATTTTTATTTCTCGCCCAGATTAATTTAGTAAGAGCCGGAAAATGCGACCTAGAAAAAACTTTCCGCACACCCAGAGACATGTCCAAAGTAAATTTTGACCATTTCGAAATAGTGGAAAGAGACGGGTACGATATCGAACCTACGACAACCACAACTGAAGCACCACTAGAATCCAAGAAAAATGGGGATACCATTGCTAAAGCCCAAGTACACTTGAGATTTGGCGGTGATGATATTTATGGTAGCAACCATATCATGAAAATACCACCACAGTGTAGGAATATGGCAAGTAAGAAGTTTTTTCTTGAAAAATGTTTGGAACAAAATCCTAGCTAAGCTTATTTGTTTCAGGTCAAATTGCACCTCATTACCCAAGCCCTTACTACCCACCTCACTATGCTCCTTACTATTACCACCCATATCCTCCACCAGTGCCCTATAGGTTTCCTTATTACTATTTCTGCAATTCTGCCCAAGAATCACAAAACTTGCCACGACCATTGCAGGAATATTTCAGGACTCATGGACAATTAGGAGAAGGGGATTTTACCAGAGGCTATCCAGCAATGGAGGATGGAAGCCATCATACGGATTTTATGGATGGTAAGTTATTATCAATTAAGTTCCTGTTCATATGTAAAATTTCTGCCAACAGTAAATCGCCGGTCAAAAAACCTACTAAAAACAAACATCGCAGACGACACCAGACTGCAGAATGTTGCAACAGCTCTGTTTATAAAACCAAGAACTCTGGAGCCTCTAAATCAGATCGACGAGGATATAGAAGAAATTATAACGGCAAATACAAAAACAGATGCATGTGCTGCAGAGAAAGACGGAGGAAACAAAAAAAATGCCACTACAAAAGAACCTAATCACATCATAGATTTTTCAGACAAATTGAAAAAACATCACAAGCATCATGAGAAAAAATACAAAAAGGATGAGCTTAAAGACTGGCTACGCAAAGCTTTAGTAGCATACGAAAAATGTCCAAATTGTACTGAATCATCAGAAACGCTGGAAAAGCTAGACTCATGCGAAACGGATGAGACAGAGTGCAAATGTCTACAGTGTCAATGCAGTAAAAAGGACGAAAAGTTAAACAATGATATGGATGAATTGGATATAGTAGTTGCTGAAATAATTGATCCGTACGATAAACTATCGAAAACTTCTAAAAAAGATCAAAAATCATTAGTTTACAATTTAGCTAAAATTGGCGTACAGTTGGCTGATAGTGATTCAATTGGTTTTCAACAAGTACCTCCAAAAATATCTTTGGACTTAGAATTATTTAATAATGAGGACGCACGCACAGCATCGTTCATTGACTCATCATCTACTGATAGCTATCGTTATCCTAAATCAAAAAATTCACATTGCGGATGTAGGCATACTACGTCTAATCCCTGTGCTGCAATAAATTACCAAGCACCTACAAACATAGAAACTTTATATGCAGATGAGGCTGATATAGGTTGTAACAGGTATCCTATTCCTAGAAGTTATTATGGTTCCAGAAATCCGTGTGGATTTTCCAATAGTTATTCATCACCATCAGTTTACCATAACCATCACAGTCATGCAACAGCTTCTCCAAGCAACTGCTATTTCTATCCAGAACCAAATGTTTACATTAAAAAGGAACCAGAACCTTATCTACCAAAGTTAGCCCAGCTCCTTCCAGGATCAAATCTCAAGATTTCATCAAATAATGCACCACGTTTTTGCGCACATTGTGGTCATGAACATTCTGGTAATAATTTTTGTGATAATTGCGGAAATCCTCTAGCAATACATTCTACATGTAGAGGGTATTGAGATGTAGGTACAACTTGTTAGTAGATATTATGTGGATTATGTTAATCCAAATGAAATGACCAGTGATGGATAAAATTTAGGATTAAGATTTTAGAAGACTGTGTTTTAATAAACTATATTTTGTTATTTTCAATTTGCAGTTTAATTTTTGGCAAGGGCGGATACTGGCCTTTTGAAAGGGGGGGGGGGGCAGTTTAAGTTAAAGTAAACCAGATTGGGTTAGGTTTGGCAGCGTATTGTGCAAGATACGGTTTTTCGAAGGAATGGCCCATAAAAATATGGGAATGGGGGAACTATTTAGGAGAATAAGGTGATTTTAAATAGGTAGGTACAGGGTGTTTTTCTATATATTGACACCCCACCTACAGCCTTTACTTTTACAGGTAAAAGAAAGGTGCAAATACAAAAGTTGTATAGTTTTGGCTGAATTTTTTAGAAACCATGGCCAGAAACAAAATTTGAATGTCAGAAATGTGAAAGTTTCCATGCTTCCAGCTTTTTTCAAACTGAAAAGCACAATGCCCCGATTCCAAAAATATATAATTTGTCTATATTTGATTGAACAGTTTCTCATATATTCGGCTCCAAAAATTGTAAAAATACTATCTTACTACTGATTTTGTGAACCATTCCACCTATACAGGTGAAAGCTGCAGGTTAAATTTAAGGTATGTACTTGGTTTTTCTGGTAGTATTTTTAAAATTTCTAGAACCAAATATGTTGGAGACGGCTCAACCAAATATAGACAAACTGTATAGTTTTAGAATCAGGAAATTGTGCTTTTCAAGAATATAGAACCAAATATAGGGCATCCCATTTGAAAAACGCTGAAAGCGTGCAACATCTCACATTTCTGACATTCAATTTTTGTTTCTGACCATGGATTCTAAAAATTTAGCCAAAACTATACAACTTTTGTATTTACACCTTTCATCTACTTGTAAAGGTGAAGGCTGTAGGTGGAGTGTCAATATATAAAAAAACACCCTGTACTTGAACAATAACTCATTATATAAAGTCAGAATTTGTAAGATTATCAATTTTTTGTCAATTTGCCTTTCAACAGGAATTAATATTGTTACTAGTAACATAATGTGACAAGTTATTCAAGTACAAACGTGTGGATTGTTGCGGAACTTATGAGTGGACCTCTGCGGGACGAGCGCAGCGAGTTCCGCAGCCATCTATTCATCAATATGTTGTTTAATTACGATACTCACTCAAATGTGCGTTATTTTCATAAGTTTAAAAATTACACGTTTCAGGTGAATGTCTTACTTGAATAGTTCAACAGTACATTGGTGATTGGATGGCTGCGGAACTCGCTGCGCTCGTCCCGCAGAGGTCCACCCATAAGTTCCGCAATAATCCTCTTATTTTTACTTGAACAATTACTTATTATATGAGGTTAGGATTTGTTAAATTATCCACTTTTTGTCAATTTGCCTTTCAACAGGAATTAGTAATGTTACTTTACCAAACTAGTAATATATTGTGATAAGTTATTCAAGTACAAATGAGTGTATTGTTGCGGAATTTATGGGTGGACCTCTGCGGGACGAGCGCAGCGAGTTCCGCAGCCATCTATTCATCAATATGTTGTTTAATTACGATACTAAACGTTCACCCCAATTTTCCATTACCTAATACCTAAAGTTGGCATATTATGTTTAGTTTACTGTAAAAATATGTTGAACACTAAAAGAAAGAACTAGGACATGGAAAACATTTTTATATGTTGGAAATACCTAGGGGAATACTGGAAATAAAATTTAGTTTTTGGAAATGCTTCGGAAATATCTAGGAATATTTAGAAATACTTGGAACTACCGCGAAATACTTGGATATACTGTCCAAATTTGAGAAGTAGGTATTCCTAGAAACTGGAAATCACTGTACGTTTTCTCGTGAGTGTTTGGAGATACTCCGATGAAAACAATTCAAGAGCCGGGAATAGACAAACATTTAGACAGAAAAATTTGAGAACCACCATAAACGAGTCTATGGAGTGAAGATTGTCAGACTGCGCTTTTGTGAATCCTGTATCAACTATGATGAACTATTTAAAACACAAATTTTACAATATGGCACTAAATACGGAAACATTACATACTAACCGCTTTCAATGCAGTCGAAGGTTCAAGCCTCAATGGTTCAAGCCTCAATGGTTCAAGCCTCAATGGTTCAAGCCTCGGTTCAAGCTAAGCGATTCTTTCTGACAGTTTACAAAGTGTCAGAGGCTCTTGTGACAAGACCTTAACGTTGTATTTACAGAGAGTTGAGGCGATTTTCAGCTTGAGCCGCTTTCGGGTGCAAAGTGCGAAGCTCCTAAAACACCGCACTTGTCATACTCCATGCGTTTTTACTCCATGCGTTTTAAACTCGAACGCTTGAAACCGAACGGGGTCAAACTGTAAGATTATCCACTTTTTGTCAATTTGCCTTTTAACAGGAATTAGTAATGTTACTTTACCAAACTAGTAACATAATGTGAAAAGTTATTCAAGTACAAACGTGTAGATTGTTGCGGAACTTATGGGTGGACCTCTGCGGGATGAGCGCAGCGAGTTCCGCTGCTATCTATTCATCAATATGTTGTTTAATCACGATACTAACGACCATTTGCACCGCTATAACTTAAGGGATATTTAATCCAAGTAAAGCTTTGAATGTGCCTCTTGTAGGAACAAAAATCACATTCAAAGCTCCACGTAGAATAAATATCCCTTAAGTGATAGCCGTGCAAATGGCCATAACTCACTCAAATGTGCGTTATTCTCATTACTTTAAAGATTACACGTTTCAGGTGAATGTCTTACTTGAAAAGTTCAACAGTATATTGGTGATTAAATGGCTGCGGAACTCGCTGCGCTCGTCCTGCAGAGGTCCACCCATAAGTTCCGCGACAATCCACTTATTTGTACTTGAACAATAACTTATTATATAAAGTCAAAATATGTAAGATTATCCACTTTTTGTCAATTTGCCTTTCAACAGGAATTAGTAATGTTACTTTACCAAACTAGTAATATATTGTGATAAGTTATTCAAGTACAAACGAGCGGATTGTTGCGGAACTTTTGGGTGGACCCAGCCATCTATTCACCAATATGTTGTTCAAGTAGAATACTAACCTGATTCAGTCAATTGAGAATTTTTCTCATAAGTTCAAAAACTACACGTTTCAGGTGAGTGTCTTATTTGAACAGTTCAACAGTATATTGGTGAGTAGATGGCTGCGGAACTCGCTGCGCTCGTCCCGCAGAGGTCCACCCATAAGTTCCGCAATAATCCACTTATTTGTACAGGGTGTTTTTTTATATATTGACACCCCACCTACAGCCTTTACCTTCAAGGTAGAAGAAAGGTGTAAATACAAAAGTTATACAGTTTTGGCTGAATTTTTAGAAACCATGGTCAGAAACAAAATTTGAATGTCAGAAATGTAAAATTTTGCATGTTTCCAGCTTCTTTCAAATGGGATGCCCTATATTTCATTCTATATTCTTGAAGAGCGCAATACCCCGATCTATATTTGATTATCTTAAAAAGGGGGGGGGCAGTTGCCCCCTGGCCCCCCACTGTATCCACCACTGATTTTTGGTGCATTTTGATAAATCAAAAATACAGCATTAAAAGTAAATATTTATTTAATGGTAACAAAAGTGAGCAGAAATACAAAAAAAAATATGCCTATAGAATCCAAATGAAAGATATAAAAATACATAGGGCAGGGACAGACAAATATTTGGTAATTTTCATCAACACCCTAACTAATATCAATACAAATAATATATTCGCCATTTTTTTCCTGAGATTAATCGATTTTCAATTGTCTAAAACTTCCATCGATTCCAAAAAGATCGTCGTAATTGGTGGGTTTTCCTGGGCGTTTAGATTCGTCAGCCTTGATGTCTTCTTGAGCCTGGAACCATGGTCCGTAATCAGCTACTTTTTTCATCCAGGCATCTAGAAAATATTATAAAATATGCATTCAAAAAAAAAATCTTCTTGTAGATATTCCTACCATGGAAATCCTGAAGCTTTCCAGCGGAACCGCCGTATTCTTCTGGCAAGATATCTTTGGGCACCATTTCGTGGAGAGTATCGAAAGAGGAGTGCAAATGGATACGGTTCCTGATTTTTTCTTTGAGGAAAGGCTTAACAAATTGGACTATGGTGTCTACCAATGGGGAAACGTTGACCACGTGGACTTCTTTGAGTTTAACTGGATAAGCTTCCTGAAAAAAATCATTGAGAAAGGTAAAATTAAATGTTATTTCCAAAAAGATTGGTAGGTGAACAAAATCAAGAGTTACTTAGTTGTTTTTGCACTGCATCAATTTAGTAGAAGACCAAGTAATGTGAAGAAGAGAATTGTTGGATATATGAAAAACTTTGGAAGGTTGGAGCACAAAATTCGAATTAGAGCAAATGAGCTAACAACTGCACAAAATATTTTGAAAAAAGATCAAGGGGACTCCGAAAAAAGTCTGATGAGCATGCTGGTCGCTAATTGAACTAAGGAAAGAAATAGTAGAAGTACAAAGTAGAAGCTGTCACAGTAGTTGTAATTTCACCTTTTGTTCCTCTGAAAGTGGTGCGTATTTTTCATTATTCTTTTTACAATGAAGCGAGTGGAAGCAATTCATAATAATTGCTCACTTGTTATTGTATCTTCAACAGTAGATATAAGAATACCATTTTGTAAGAGAAAATGATGATTTTTTCATATTGTCGCGAAAATCTGGTGTGTGCAGAGTTGGACGGCTGTCTGAATTTCACAGTGCCATATTCGAGAAAAAGTGCTATTGCGTTTATTCTGGATTGTGGATGTATAAAGGCCGATATTGGTTAGTAGTTTTTAGTTTAAGATTGGCTGTGATGCGTCTTATAAGGTGATTGTGAGAGTTGTAAGAAGTTGGGTTGTTTGGTGAAGTGATTAGTGTCAGAATATATAGTGTAGTAACGCGGAGTAGATTGTTGTTGTGTTGATTGGACTTTGATTTTGGAATGAACTGACCCAAGATTCTGTCACGCACCCCAGAGCCTTGACATTGGTGTCAGAAGTGAGATAGTTCGAAAACTGCAAAGTGAAATCCGAATACAGAATTGTGTGGACACTTAGTGATAGTGTTGCCAGGTCTACTGATTTATCAGTAAATCTGCTGATTTGGCCAGTGGTCTACTGATAAAGTTCGACAAATACCATTTTAAAGTCACGTGATATTGGTGGCAAAGTCAATTGGTCGCATAGCGTTATGCTGTACAACTAACTGCAGCCTGTTTTACCTGTTTTTATAAGACTAGACTACTGCATAGGTACCCATTCGAAAAAAGCTGAAAACATTCAACATTTCACATTTCTGACATTCAATTTTTGTTTCTAACCATGGATTCTAAGAATCTAGCCAATAATGTAGGTACAACTTTTGTATTTACACCTTTCATCTACTTTTAAAGGTGAAGGCTGTAGGTGGGATGTCAATATATAAAAAAACAGTACTTGAACAATAACTTATTATATAAAGTCAGAATTTGTAAGATTATCCACTTTTTGTTAATTCGCCTTTCAACAGTAATGTTACTTTACTAAACTAGTAATATATTGTGACAAGTTATTCAAGTACAAACGAGTGGATTGTTGTGGAACTTATGGGTGGACCTCTGCGGGACGAGCGCAGCGAGTTCCGCAGCCATCTATTCATCAATATGTGGTTTAATTACGATACTTACGGGACTCACTCAAATGTGAGTTATTCTCATTAGTTTAAAAACTACATGTTTCAGGTGAATGTCTTATTTGAATAATTCAACAGTATATTTGGTAAGTAGATGGCTGCGGAACTCGCGGCGCGCGTCTCGCAGAGGTCCAACCATAAAATCCGCAACAATCCACTTATTTGTACTTGAACAATAACTTATTAAAGTCAGAATTTGTAAGATTATGATTATGCACTTTTTGACAATTCGCCTTTCAGCAGGAAGTAGTAATGTTACTTTACCAAACTAATGTGACAAGTTATTCAAGTACAAATGAGTGAATTGTTGCGGAACTTATGGGTGGACCTCTATTCATCCATCTATTCATCAATATATTGTTTAATTATGATACTCACCTGATTCACTCAAATGTGAGTTATTCTCATTAGTTTAAAAACTACATGTTTTAGGACATTTTAGGTGAATGTCTTATTTGAACAATTCAACAGTATATTTGGTAAGTAGATGGCTGCGGAACTAGCTGCGCGCGTCTCGCAGAGGTCCACCCATAAAATCCGCAACAATCCACTTATTTGTACATGAAAAATAACTTATTATGTAAAGTCAGAATTTTTAAAATTATCCACTCTTTGTCAATTCGCCTTTCAACAGAAATTAGTAATGTTACTTTACCAAACTAGTAATATATTGTGACAAGTTATTCAAGTACAAACGAGTGGATTGTTGCGGAACTTATGAGAGGACCCAGCCATCTATTCACCAATATGCTGTTCAAGTACGATAGTACGATACTAACCTAACTCACTCAAATGTGAGTCATCCTCATTAGTTTAAAAAGTACACGTTTCAGATGAGTGTCTTATTTGAACAGTTCAACAGTATATTGGTGAGTAGATGGCTGCGGAACTCGCTGCGCTCGTCCCGCAGGGGTTCACCCATAAGCTCCGCAATAATCCACTTATTTGTACGGGGTGTTTTTTATATATTGACACCCCACCTACTTCCTTTACCTTTACATGTAGAAAAAAGGTGTAAATACAAATTTGTACAGTTTTGGCTGAATTTTAAGAAACCATGGTCAGAAGCAAAATTTGAATGTCAGAAATGTGAAATTTTGCATGCTTCCAGCTTTCTTCAAATGGGATGCCCTATATTTCATTCTATATTCTTGAAGAGCACAATGCCCCGATTCCAAAAATATATAGTTTATCTATATTTGATTGAATAGTCTCTCATATATTCGGCTCCAAAAATTGTAAAAATACAATCCTACTATACTGATTTTGTGAACCATTCTATTTGTACAGGTGAAAGCTGCAGGTAAAATGAATCACCTTTCAATGCTATTTGATAGGGAAAGGTGATAAATTTACCTGTACCTTTGGACTACAGATTGTTAATAGGATATAGGTATTTGGTTTCTCTGATAGTATTTTTAAAATTTTTAGAACCAAATATGTTTGGAGCCGGCTCAACCAAATATAGACAAACTTGGAATCGGGAAATTGTACTCTTCAAGAATTTAGAACCAAATATAGGGCATCTCATAAGTGAACACTAGGACAATTAGTCAGTGTAAGCAGTGACAATCACAAAAAGAGACTTAACCGATTGTGTACCTCGGAAGTAACAGTATACCCGATTTGACTGTGAATTTTCAAGTAAGTTCTAGAAAATTCTATTCGGAAACCAAGGGAGATATCGAATTTGTGACTTCACTAACGTGTTTACTATATCAATCGACATTCAGAAAAGACATTCCAAGAAAATTCTAGAACACTCTATTCGAGAATAAAGCAAGTTATCCAATTTGTGACTTCACTGACGTGTTTGGAGCTTCAAGCCAAGAACAGAGAGGGAAAGATATTTGAAGGAAGTTTGAGGAAAATTCCAGAACATTTTGTATATACCAAGACAACGAGTTGTAGGGAGTTTGGTTGATTGGTAAAGTGATTAGTGTCAGAGTGTGTAGTAACGTGGAGTAGATTGTTATTGTTTTGATTGGAATGAACAGACAAGATTTCTGTCACGCACCACAGAGCCGTGACAATATAATAGTTAAACCCACCATATTTTTAGTTCGAATATATTCCAAAATATATCGTCTGGATTTTAATTAAGGTAGGTAGTACTCACTTGGACACAAACCAAAAACCTTTTAGCCACACTAGGTGAAACCTTGGAAAAATGACTGATAGTGGCAACGCTGGCATCTAAAATGTAAACATCACCAGCGACTCCAGTTTCTTCAGCAGCCAATCGTATGTCTCCGATCATCAAGACAAGCTTGGCAACGTCGGATAGTGGGGGTGTTTCGACTGAAGGGTCTTTACCGCGCATGACGATTATACGTTTACCGTCTTTGGTTAAGCCTGGCAACGGTGGTATAAGACTGAAAATTTAAGTTAAATTACAGTGTTATCTATAGTGTAATGTTTTCACTTACCCAATATTTGCAATGAGTTGCAATTCTGGTCTGTTAATATCCCGATTGGAGAAAAAGTCTGGACAGGCTGTCCGCATTGTGAAGTACATGTCCAGTTTTTGTTTGGTTTTTTCCAGGGAAAATTTGCATCCTCTGAGGAAGGTCATTAATCTATCTTCATCTGAAAATATACATAGTTTTGTATTTCAAGTTTTAATAATCAGTTTATAATTGTTGTAATAATTGAAGCGAATTTGCAATATTTAATTTTTTTTATCGATTGATATTTTATTTCCTAGAACCCATAGCTTCGCATTCATGTGATAATTATTTTTGTAATATTAAATATCGCACATTGACTGCACAGGTAAAATAAAAATTATTCAAATGAATAAAGTTCAAGATTAAAATTAACAACAAATACACCATGTTAACATTTTACTTTTGATGTGCTACTGCTTGTTACATCAAGGAACAACATGTAATTTCTCTAGTAAGAATATTTTTTTTACCCCAAGTGTCCGGTAAATGGGGTTGCTTCAATAACCATTCCTTGATGTGCTCTAAATCCGATTGTCTTGTGTTTACATCTTCGTTGAGGGCTTTTCTGATATGAATTTGCATTTCGGGAGAAGGCTGGACTAGAGTCATGGTTCTGGAAAAGAAAAATGAATTAGTTTGAGTTAGTAGTGAGAATCATGTTTGTTGTGTATTAACAGAAATAACAGGTCGCATCGAAATGCAGTATGTACGAAATTATTGAGAGATGGTCATCAAACGCCATGTAGTAACATCAAATCTCATTTATAATACTATTTTCTAAATCAACACCTCAAAAAACAAATTTTTTATTAGGTTTTTGACATCTATCCATTAATAGTGGAAGTATTTAGGTGACTTATATAAAGATTTTTCAGTTGAATGGTTTAGTTTATAAAGTGTTTAAATAACCGAATGTTTAGCCCAAGAAATTTATACGTGGGCCGTAAAAAATTTTGCGAGGACAGGCTGATTTGACCAGGGCTGATTGGGGAGTGTGTCCTGAGTATTGAGCCAAAAAATCACACTCGAAAGCCTTGTGCGTTCGGCCCTATTGGCCTTTTTCTTATTTTTTTTTTTTTTGACAAAATGACCTCTACAAAACTTGTAGATAATTACATTCTGATCAACTTTGCCTCATGACTTTTTTCTAGCTATTTTACTTTAGGCGCTGTGGCCATTTTAGTGCTTCAGAATTCGCAAAAAAATTAAATAGCAAACCTGCAGATTATTATTCCTAATAAAATTCTCTATTACTTTGCTTGATGATATTTTATTGTAACTTTATTTCTTTCACTTGTACGGCCTTTTAGGCATTTGAAAATTTTTATTTGACCTGGTGGACATTTTGGCATGCATAGCGTTTCTAAGGATTTGACATATTTTGCAGGTAAAATGTGGCGTTTCGCGAAATTGAATTTCGCGAACGGTTGCACAATAGCTAGTTGTGTATTAAGAGCGCAAAGTGGTACTTTGCTGATCGAAAGATATTGTTGATATTGGCAAATGCACACTTGATTTTTTTTACAATCGCATTTGATAAAAAATAGTTCAGGTTCAAAGAAACCAGTAGTAAAAGCAAGCGCTAGCGCTACTTTGCCGCTCTAGAGCGACAAAGTGAAGGATTTTGACGTAGTTTGACGCTCTAAAGCGGCAAAGTGGAGGTCATCAGGAAACGTCTACTTTGCGAGCACAAATCTAATCGACAAAGTCTACTTTCTAGGCCGATTGTAGAAAAAAAACATTTTGTCACTTTTCAAACAGGTAACAGGTCCCAGTATTGTCAAAAAAAAACATCATTTCGATTTCACGCTTTCACTCCGGGAAAATAATTTCACCGGATTAGTGATGTAATGTATCATTTCTTGGACTGAAACCGAAAACATAATGGAGTACATTACCAGTAATTTTATTAAAGTTACAATAATCTGCAGGTTTGCTATTTAATTTTTTTGCGAATTCTGGAGCACTTAATTGGCCGCAACGCCTAAACTAAAATAGCTAGCAAAAAAAGGCATGAGGCAAAGTTGATCAGAATGTTATTATCTACAAGTTTTGTTAAGGTCATTTTGTCGAAAAAAAAATAAATAAGAAAAAGGCCAATAGGGTCGAACGCACAAGGCTTTCGAGTGTGATTTTTTGGCTCAATACTCAGGACACAGTCTCCAATTAGCCCTGAAAAAATCAGCCTGCCCTCGCAATTTTTTTTGAAAAACCCATAAATTTCTTGGGCTAGTTCATTTGATATAAGATATAAGGTCAACAAACAAAAGCAATATTTTCCTTTTTCAACTGAGTAAATTAATATTAAATAATGTCTCGCCAGCAATTAGAAAAAAAATCTCGTTATAAAACATATAGCTTGTGTAAAACTATTTTGTAACAGCTTCATGCTTTTGAACTTCAAAGCCAACACGCGTGGCCACTCATTACCTTTACAAAAAACTAACATTAATAAGAAGAAAATAATTAGCCATTACAAAACGCCTATAGTTGAAATTATTAATTCAGGTTTGGGCAAGATTGCAGCATGATTTTGAAACGATTTTTTTGAAGATAATGATGGTGATTCATGAAAGCAAAATATTTTGCAATCAGTTTCGTCTCATATCGATTATTGACACGTAATATCAATTAACCATATACGCAAATAAATTACTAATTCAAAAACAAGAAAAAACTATTTTCCGAAAAATAACAACAAAAAAAAAATCGGAGAAACACTATTCGGAAAGCTCCAATATGTCTAGTTTTGCGTCAGAAATATTAATAAGCGTGAGACCTTTGCAACGACGGAAAACTCCATATCTATAATGATTTAATAATTTAGCGAAAATTGATCGTAGACTTTCAATATCAATAAAATATTATGCCATATTTGAGTTGGACTGCGAACTCAATTTTGATGAAAATAAATTAAATATGCATCAGGTATTTCTGTTTGGAACTTAATTTGATTGGTGCAAAAGCAAAAAAATCTTTATACTCTTGAGAAGGTCGAAAGGTTATTCCATAACATTAAGTGGATTAGTAAATGCTTGTAAAAGATTCAGTATTTAGTTTCTCTATGTTCGCCGCTACTGATTTTGGTATGAAAGGCATCATAGTTGCATTCAAATAATACTGAAAGCTGAAAACAGTATTTCGAAAATAGTTACATTCTGGTTTGAGCCTGATAAAACTACTGAAACTTAAGTTAGGTTTAGGTTAAATCAAAAATGAGTGGACTGCGATTATTTATATTTTTCCGATCATGCCTATCTTCCCAATGAAGTCCAGGATGGTAGTTGGAGAGATGTTGTTGAGGTCTCCCAGTGGAACCTTTTCCCCATATGTAAGATATGATGCCTCAGTCTGGCACTTGCCGGTCATTCACAAAGTATGTGTGCAGCTGTCTCCTCATCATCCATGCATTGCCTGCATCTCTGCTCTCTCCTCCTTGCCATTCAGTAGGTAGGCATACTGATGAATAGTCAATGAGTTTTCTGATCTGTAGGTCCAGGACTTTTTCCAAACTGAATCAAGATAAACTTATTGGTCTGAACGATTTAGGTTGATAGTTGGTTCTACCTGTTTTGGGTAAATATACTATCCTTATCCTTGACCAACTAGTTGTTATGTGACACCAAGCACGACTTAGATCCGAGGTTCGCTGTCTCTTTAACAGAGCCAAACGGGACGGAGAATGGCAGGGCTACACCGAAAGTCTGACTGAGTACAACAGAGAATTAAGGAAGGCCAAACGGAAAAACTCCCAGAACTTCTATGAATTTATCACAGAAACACCATCAGCAGCCAGCAGCCACACTATACAAAACTCTGGCAAAAGGCAGGGCGCAAGGACCATTGACACTTAAGAAACCAGACGGTAGTTATACAGAAAATGAAGAGCAACGAGCTGCTCTACTACTGGAAACCCATTTTCCAGGAAGTATACCCAATGGTACTGAAGAAAACAAAGAACGGGCCAGAAAAACCAGACAAGAAAACTGGGAGGTTGCCAAAAACCTTTGCACTCCGTAGCGGCTGGCTTGGGCGATCGACTCATTTCAATGGTTCAAGTCACCTGGAATAGACGGCATTTTTCCAGCCAGGGCAAAATAAAATTATGTTGTATCTAATCAAACTCATCAGATACAGCCTAGCGACCGGATACATACCCAGTTAATGGAGAAGAGCTAAAGTAACTTTCATCCCAAAGGCAGGGAGAAAGGATGCCACTCTACCGAAGTCGTTCAGACCTATATGTCTCACGTCGTTCTTACTGAAGTCAGTTGAGAAAGTTGTAAATAACTATGTCAGAACAAATGTTCTAGAAAAGACGCCACTACATCCTAGGCAACATGCTTACAGAGCGGGCAGATCAACAGAAACCGCTCTATTCGAACTCACTGACAGCATCCAAAACACACTGCTGAATAAGGAAGTAACTATCTGCGCCTTCTAAGACATAGAGGGGGCTTTCGATAACACCTCTCATGAGTCAATAAAGAATGCGATTGTCAGAAAACGAGTAGACCAAACCACATCCACCTGGATGTGTGAAACGTTAGCCACCAGAACTGCAGAAATGGATATGAGGGAACAAACCATACAAGTCGAGAGAATGTCCACAGGGAGGGGTACTCTCACCCTTGATATGGAGTCTAGTAGTCGATGATCTACTAAATACACTGACAGACCAGGTCTTCAACTGCCTTGGTTACGCCGATGATGTTGTCATCATAGCCAGAGGCAAACACGAAGGAATACTCTGTGACCTTATAGAAAAAGCACTCCGAACCACGAAGGAATGGTGTAAGTGTAAGACTGTGGGACTGAATCCTAACTCATCACAAACCACACTGGTAACATTTACAAAAAGAACGAAACTCCCATACCTGAGGAACATTCGCCTCGATGAAAGTAGGCTTCACTGGAAACAAGAAGTTAAATTCATAGGAATAACCCTAGACTCTAAACTCCTCTGGAACCGACACATAGAGAACATAACAAACAAAGCAATTTCGGCACTCATGGTATGTAAAAACATTGCGGACAAAACGTGGGGTTGTAACCCATCGATCCTACGATGGATGACCATGATAGTGAGACCTATCATCACCTACGGAGCGGTAGCCTGGTACAGCCGAACCCAGCTAGTAACGGCTAGGAAAACCCTAGGAAAGGTACAAAGACTCGCATGTCTATGCATAACAGGAGCAATGAGAACATGCCCAACCACGGCAATGGAAGTTATCCTAGACCTAACACCACTTCACACAATAGTGAAGCGGGTTGCCAGTGAATCTTGTCTAGGACTGGCGAAGATAAGTCTACAAGGAAAAACGCACTTTCGCAGAGCTTTCCCTCTCCCAAACTGTGCACACCTCATGGACTTACCAAAAGACGCGATTGTTGATAAATTTAGTTTCGAGAAAAACTTTTCCATCGAACTAAGTACAAAGAACAGATGGAACATAGAATATATCCAGTCCCTTAAGGCAAAAACCATCAAATGGTACACAGACGGCTCCAAAACTGCTGAGGGGACAGGAGCCGGAGTATTCGGGTCACGAACCAGATACTCGGAGCCAATGGGCAAATCACCAAGCATATTCCAAGCCGAACTTCATG